GTACAGATTGAGTAGTGATTTGATTGACAGAAGCCTTGCAGAGAAGGGCGGAGGGATATTAGTAGATGAAAAATAGGATGTGAACTGGCCAAGCGTGCTTGTTTCCCAGAAGGCAAATTGTATCCTGGGCTGCATAAACGGAAGTGTTGCTTGCAGATCAAGGGAGGTGATTTTCTCCCTCTCTTTTACTCTCATGAGGTTCTATCTGGAGTAATGCATTCAGCTCTGGTGCCCTCAGCAAAAGAGACATGTTGGCTTATTAGAGCAAGTCCAGAAAAGTGTCATAAAAAATGATCCAAGGCCTGAAGCATCTCACCTACGAAGAGAGGCTGATAAAGCTGTGGTTGTTTAGCATGGTGAAGACAAAGGTCTGGGAAGACAAGATACTTCAGTCCTTAAGGGAGGTCTACAAAAAAGATAGTAAAATGCTTTTTACCAGGGCTTTTAGTGCTCAGTCAAGAGGTAATGGTTTCAAATTGAAAGAGACCTTATTTAGATTATTAAGAAAGAAATTTTGTACCACAAGGGGTTGCTCAAAAATGCTGTAGCCATCCCATCCTTAGAGGTTCAGAGCCAGGTTGAATGGGATTTGAGCAACTTGATCTCATTCACAAAATCACAGAATTGCAGGATTTGGGAGGGACCTTAAGAGATCATCTAGTCCAATCTTCCTGCTGAAGTAGGTATCCTACAATAGGTCACACAAGTCGGCATCCAGATGGTCTTGAATATCGCCAGAGGAGACTCCACAACCTCTCCAGTGCTCCATAACCTTACTGTAAAGAAGTTCTTCCACATGTTTGTATGGAACTTCCTATGGCCAAGTCTTAGTACGTAGCTCCTTGTCCTATCACTACACACCTCCAAGGCTCTAGTCTGGACTCATCCATTTGCCTCCCACCTCCTTTTAGACATTCAGAATAATTAATTAGATACCCTCTCAGTCTCCTTTTTCCCAGCCTGAACAGAGCCAGGTTACTCATCCTTCCCACATACAGGAACTGCTCCATCATCATCTTTGTGACCCTCCACTAAGACTCCTTCTAAGAGATCTTGTCTTTTTTGGGCTGGGGAGACCAGAACTGGACACAATATTCTAAATGTCACCTCACCAGGGCTGAGCTGGGCGGAAGGATCACCTCATTCAAGTGGCCACACTCCTTTTAATGCACCCCAGGGTCCCATTGGCCTTCTTGCCCACAAGGACACAATGCTGGTTTGTGGCCAACATAACGTCCACCAGAACACTTAGGTCCTTCTCTGCAGAGCTTCTCTCCGGGCCGTTCCCTAACCTGCTGAAAATGCCCCTGACCCTGGCAGGGGTGTTGGACTAGATGATTCTTTAATTCTACAGTAGGATCTTTAAGATGCTTGCATGTAAATATTTTGGTTTCATTTTCAAGCCTGACTGTTTTGATGGCATAAATGGAAATTACACAGGCACTGTATCTCTTTTGATCCAGCTTTCTGTAAGGAAAAAACATCTTGAAACAGGAATTTACATTCTCTGTTGCCTTACTCAGAGCATTGTGATTCTGTTGTGCTATAATGTAGTTGCCATGCAGGACTAATTTTTGCCAGTGCTGTGGCCAGACTGGAGATACAAGGAGAAGGACCATGACCTTACTGCTCTACGCTTGGTAGATGTTTGCATGAAGGTCACATTCACCATATATGTATCTCAGAAAGTTATCTGCTTATAATGTACTATCTGTCTCATGCAGGGTCTTTCTATCTGTCCTTACTCAGTCAGCAATTCCAGCAGCATTCCACACCCTATCAGCCTTCCCAGTTCCCCACCAGTACGTCTTTTTTTCCTAAGTGCAGCTCACTTACATTGTTTTTGGTTCACTTACTTTGACACCATGATTTGCAAGGACTTGGGCTGTGAGGAAGCATTAGATTGCCCATCTCTCCAGCAGTGCCGGGACCAAGGAGACTCAGAAAGAGGTATGTTTTCCAAGGCATTGTGTTTAGTTAGACGAGTTTTCAAGCAGTCAGGAAATAGTCATGAGAGACTGTGTTCATAAAAGCAGTGTGTATCCCCTTTCCTATCTGTAAGTACAGATGTCACTGACAGATCATTCTTCCTTCCTTTCCTTCTTTTCCTTCCTTTCCTTCATTTCCTTCCTTTCCTTCCTTTCCTTCTTCTCTCTCTTTTTCTCTCTTTCTCTCTTGCTCTCTTTCTCTCTTTCCTTCTTTCCTTATCTTTCTTAATGTCTTCTTATCTTCTTTACTCTTACTCATTTTTTCATTTCCAAGCTGTAGTAGGTAAGAGTTCTCCATATGTGGCAGCAGCTTTAACGGAGCCCATCAGCTGCATCTATTTTAAACTTTCTCTTAAGACATTACTTTATGCCTATTATGGATCAAAGTTTTATCCAAGATCAGTTACCTTTGCATCAGCACTTATCAAATCACAAGCATCCTGACTCCAGAAATAGTGTGTCAACACAAAATGACTCCTGTTCTCCATATATGGCAGCAAACCACAAAGGGAGGAGTAACTAATTTTCCTTACTCCTCCCATTAATTTTCCATTCTGATTCCAAGAAGTCTCTGATCTTTCCTTCTGGGATGCTCAGTGGTAAGGCCAGGTCAGCCCAGTGCAGTGCGCAGTTTGAAACAGAGAATTGGATTGAGATGTCATAATTCAGAGAAATTGTAATGTTACCTTTTGCCAGATGAGCATTTAGTAACAGATTCTCAAGACGAAATTGCTTGCAGACAAGAGAGAAGCCATAACATTTTCAGCTGCTTTTAGATTCTTTCACAGTCGGGCCATGACATGTTTTGAACAAGGATTGTAACATCGTCCAAGGGCAACTGGGATTTTAAGGATCAAACTATGGTCCTGAACCCACTGTGGTTCATTGTCAATTGAAAGACACTGTCTCCAGAATTAAGCTTTATTTTCTTGTTATTTAAACTAAATAAAATAACCAAGCCACCAGGAAAGTGCACTCGCTGTCTGATGTTTCCATGCAGCATGCGTGGGGAAGATTAATCTAGGATGTTCTTGAATACTGGCCAGTGTGTCCTTTTCTGCACCGTGCAGCTTTGCGTTGTCATTCTCATGGGAGGAACTGAACAGTGCAAATATTCTTTGGGCTAACATCCAAGGGAAAAGTTTTTCATAGCATTACCAAAATGAAAAGAGCTTGATTAGAGTTATGTTCATCTTAATTAAGAAATTGTTTTTTTTCTGCCTTTCAATATGTGGAAAAAAAGATTTTGTCTACAAAGAAAGAATCTCATGTCTTTTTGGAGCATGCTGGGGAATGAAGATTGGAGAGGGGCTGTCTCCCTTCTTTGGATCCCATATATCACTGGCATGGATACAACTTTCACAGTTTCACACATAAAGATGCTGTCTCTCAAGAGCAGTCATACACAGGCTATCATCTTCTCCTTCAATATATTTAGTTGCTGCTTAGCAAAGTACATCCATATTTGGTTACAACATGAGAGGACTCCATGGGTCTAAGGCTCAGTGTACCTGGGAGAAAGAGAGCCTCCTGATCCCAAATGCTGGTGCTGCAAGTACACTGCTGGCTGTGGTTGGTGTCAGTCTTTCCTCACACTCCTTCCTCCGCATCTCTGGCAGCAACTCCAGTTCCTTTCTCCAGCAGCCTCACAGCTCCTTGAAGTGTTCCACGGAAACAGTGATGCAGAGCTAGCTAGGACCTCAGGGGCATAGGAGTTCCTGTACTGAGCATACTGACATTAGTACTACCCACAGCAGATACATGATGTACCAGGGTCCAGCGCTGCCAGGATGGCTATTCCATTTTTCTAGCTCCAGTGCTGCTTGCCATTCACATCATTAGCTGTCTTCTGTTTTAAACTTCCAGACCAGCAAGCACCTGAGTGACTTTCGCTTCTCTGTCCATCCAGGGTTCTGTTAGTATGTAATGTGCCCAGAATTATTCTCAGATCACGTCTTATCTTACAAGATTTAAAAAACCTATTCTTTTACTTTTTTTTTTTAATATGTATTAATGCAAAGCTCCACATTATTCCGCTTCACAAAAATTTATTATGGTTTTATATTAATATTTCAAAACTTACAAGAGCTCCACAGTACAGCAGCAGTTTCTGCATTGTTATCCTTTCTGTATATGTTATCTTGCATAGGGCTTTATACCATAGTTAGTCCTCTTTTTCTTGCTTCTACAGTCATTCCCCATTTATTTTATAATAGGAAATGTCTGTTTGGGACTGGTTGGTCTACAGAATAGAGAAGTAAGAAAGTGTCATGTCATCTTATCCAAATAAATTATTTGTTCTACTTTAAAATTGATTCTTAAAAACATCTTTCACTAATAAGCTGTGTAATAGATCCTGCCTGATATTTTTAATATTGCTTGCAAACAAACGGCCATTTGTTCAGAGAAGGCAGCAGCTCAGTCCTTGCATAGGCTTCTCCATGAGGACTCAGAGCCATATAGTTACATTTGGGACTTCAGATTTTTCTTATTGATGTGCTTGTTTATTTCTTTGTTTATTTATGAGTGGTATCATGGCTCCAAATCCAGCTTCCAAAGTGAGAATGGACCAGCACAGACCACAGACTGCCTCTGTGTACTCTGCCCATTTGGAGAGAGGTCCCCAAAGCAGAAGCACTTTTACTGTGCTAGGATAGACCATGTAATCCTTCTGCCTCTGTCCTGATGCTACCCTATTGTCAGTATGGAGACTTTGTTACTGTTTATCCATAATTAGTAATATAATATGATAGAGTACAGAAACTGTGGGAATGAGACTAAGAAAACTGTTATCCAACCATAAAACTGAAAAAAAGGTTCATTTGAAAATGTTCCAAATTTACATACCTACAGAACTGAATTATAACAAACAAAAAGCCACACTGCTTCTGCTGCGTATGCAGAGGACTCTATGGTCTTTATTGTCTAGCTGTTGAGGTGATTATAACGACAAATTATAAGGGATAGCAACAGAGGGCACTCCTCAGGCCACTGTGCTGTAATATGACATCTTCATTCTTCCTCTTCTATCTTCTTGCCATGAATCTCCCGGCTCTTTGCTCGGAGCTTGTTGACCTGTGACTCTGCAATGTCAGCCCGCTCCTCGGCTTCCTCCAGCTCGTGCTGGATCTTGCGGAACTTGGACAGGTTGACACTGGACAGCTCCTCCTGTACAGGGAGAGGAGTTATGTGGTGAGAACAGGGCAGAGTTTTCAGTCCTCCCGTGGCCAGGCTTAGAAGGATTCCTTGGGAGAGAGTGCAGACCCCCTGTCTCCTGCCTACTGCTGCCTATACATAAGACCAACAAAGACCTCCTCATCCTCCCTTATTCAAGACTCCACTACAACCAACTGCACTGGTTCTTTGTTGCAATTGAGTAGCTATTTCATTACTTGATATTTTCATTTATGTACTCAATCCTGCTAATTTGGTGCTCGGGTACGAGTGGTTTGTCTGGATGACAAAGATCCTGAAACATCCCATCAATGAACAACGGCATTTTCCAAATTTCTTATATTCATCGCCACCAATGGAAAGCAAAGCTTGCTTATTTTCTCAGAAATACTTACAGCCTCCTCAGCTTGTCTCTTGTAGGATTTCACCTTCATCTGTAGTTTGTCCACCAGATCCTGGAGTCTAAGAATGTTCTTGCGGTCTTCCTCAGACTAAGGCAGACGGTAAGCAGGAAAGAGAGAGAATTGGTTTCCCCACACCACAGAATGACATTTCCTCTTGGACTTCATGGAAAAATACCTTGACTTTCTGGCAGAGGTGTGTGTCAACACAAAGATGCCATCAGCCTTACCTGGTAGGTCAGCTCCTTCACCCTCCTCTCGTACTTGCGCACACCCTTCACAGCTTCAGCACTGCGCTTCTGTTCAGCATCAACCTCCCCTTCCAGCTCCCGCACCTGCAATGAAAAGTCCATATTTGGAGCTTCCCTGCTATCTCTGACCTGGCATTGCACACACTTGCACAAATACCAGCCCTACGCACCCTGGCCTCCAGCTTCTGGATTTGCTTCTTGCCTCCCTTCAGGGCCAGCTGCTCTGCCTCATCCAGACGGAGCTGCAGGTCCTTCACCGTCTGGTCCAGGTTCTTCTTCATCCTCTCCAGGTGGGCACTGGTGTCCTGCTCCTTCTTCAGCTCTTCTGCCATCATGGCCGCCTGGAGGAGAAATAATCCCTTTGTGACCGGAGATATTTGGGGAGAATGCATCCACCATCAGCAGTGAAGGCATGCCCCAACTCACATCGGTGATGGCCTTCTTGGCCTTCTCTTCAGCATTGCGGGCTTCCTGGATGGTATCCTCCATCTCACTCTGAATTTGGGAAATGTCTGTTTCCAGTTTCTTCTTGGTGTTGATCAAGCTCGTGTTCTATTTAAAATCAAAAGTATTTTCTGCATTTTGTTCCAAAAAAGAACACTTAATTTGAGAATTGTATTGCTTAAATTTGAAGTTACAATTTAAGAATCTATTATTACCATCTTCTTTAAATGTCTAATGTTGTCAGAGCATATACAGAAGGACAATAGGAAGAAGCACTCCTGAATGCAATTCTACTCACACAGCTATAACACTGTTCTTTGTCTAAGTACAAAAATTGAGATTTAGATTAAAATCCTTCCTACAAGGGATGGATGATTCAAGAACTTACAAAGAAGAAAAGTCTGGAAATAAAAACAAAAGATTGCTTAAAGATATATTGAAATTGGCTATTTTAAATGAGAAAATGAAAACGATGACCAGGGCACCTCATGATCTTGAGAAAAATGAGAAATAAAATTCCAGGGTTAATTTTCTTTTTTCCTATAGAATGCCTGTTCAACTCTGAAGAAGAGATTGCAACAACAAGTGTATCACCTTACACATTATTTACATATCTATGTTTATTTTTCGTATTCTCAGCCAAGAATCTAACCTGAGTGTGAAGGAGCTGAACTCTCTCACTTGCATCCAGAAGCTCCTGCTCAGCGACTTTCCTTGACCTCTCTGTCTGCTCCAGGGCTGCCCGTAGCTCCTCAATCTCAGCCTGCAGCAGGTTTGCTCTGCGCTCCACCATGGCCACCTGTTCCTTCAGGTCCTCCTGTGTCCTGAGAGCATCGTCCAAGTGTATCTGGGTATCCTGTAAAAGAGGAAAGAGTATAATATGGCAGACAGCTGTTGGACAATAGTAGTTAGTGCTATTCCATAATAGTTTAGATACGTAATTATTATATCAGTATAATGCCATGCAAGACAGATAGCTATATGTACATTCTTAGTTTAATATACCTTGAGCACTCCTTGTGTGTTTCTCAGGTTCTTCTGTGCCTCTGCAGCAACACGGTTGGCATGGCTCAGCTGGACCTCCATTTCATTCAGGTCTCCCTCCATCTTCTTCTTCAGTCTCAGGGCTTCATTCCTGCTCCTGATCTCAGCATCTAGGGTGCTCTGCATGGACTCCACAATTCTGAGGTGGTTTCTCTTCAGCTGGTCAATTTCCTCATCTTTCTCTGCTATCTTTCTGTCAATCTCAGATTTGACCTGGTTGAGCTCCAGCTGAAGGCGCAGAATCTTCCCCTCTTCATGTTCCAGGGAGGCCTGAATAATAACAAAAATATGTTTTTCTTACAGTTTTCTTCCAAATTATCTCACAGGAAAGAAATGGAAAGGCACTATTATACTCAGCATGATAGGTGTACCAATGCTAGACCTTCAGACCCAGTACAAACAGAGCAATAACATTTGCTCTATGCTTTTATCTTTCACACTGTTAAACAGGACTCCACATGCTAAATCAGTGATTATGAGCATGTACCTCAGCTTCCTCCAAGGCAGCCTGGATTTCAGACTTCTCCTGCTCAATCTGCTTCTTGACTTTCTCCAGCTCATGAATCGCCTTTCCTCCCTCTGCAATCTGCTCCGTGAGGTCAGAAATCTCCTCTGTAGAGAAGAATGAACATTCACATGGTCAGGTATAGAGCATAGAGGGAAAGGCCCTGTGACCCCAGCATAACAGGTCTGCTCCCATCACTGCAGGCACAGATCCAGGTGGAGAGGTGGGCAGGAGAGCTTCTGAGAAAGCCCTGCCAGCAGGAAAGGCTGAGCGACTTACGCTGCAAGTTCTTGTTCTCACGCTTCAGCGTTTCCAGGTGGTCCAGGGACTCCTCATAGGCATTCTTCATCTTGAACAGCTCTGTGCTGAGGGAGCGAGACTCCTTCTGGGAGGCCTCCAGCTCAGCCTGCGTTTCCTCGTACTTCTGCTTCCACTCCGCCAGGATCTGAGGAAAAACAGATCGTGAGTTCGGATGCGACAATCATTGTGTGCCCAGGAAACACAGGCCTGGAGCCCAGAATACCTTGTCAAAGTTCTTCTGCTTCTTGTCCAGAGCTGCGCAGGCAGCATTTGCTCGCTCCACATCAATCATCAGGTCCTCCACCTCATTCTGCAGCCTCTGCTTTGTCTTTTCCAGAGAAGCACATTTGGCATTCACGGCTTCAACGTGTTCCTCTGCCTCCTGCAGGCGCTGTGCCAGCTTCTTCCTGGGAAGAATAAAGCGCATACCACAGTCAGCAAACAAAGAGTACATCTTACTCTCTTGCTTTTCTTAACAGTGCACCTAACCACTCCATAGTCTGTAATCTACAACCCTTAGTTCTCAGACTGCCATTTTCTGCCTTCCGTGCATATTTTCATTTTTGAGTCCACACACATTAAAGGATGCATTTTCCCTCCTCTTGCCATCCATCCCAAAGCACGACATTGGCTTCACCCTGGCAATACTTCAGGGTGTGTACTTTCAATTTTCTGTTACAACTTTCTGCCAGCCTTCCCCACTTTCCCTCCACATACTTGGCCTCCTCCAGCTCCTCTGTGCGCTGAATAGCGTCCGTCTCATATTTGGTTCTCCACTGGGCCACTTCGCTGTTGGCCTTGGACAGGGCACGCTGCAGCTCACCCTTGGCTTCCTGCTCCTCCTCGTATTGTTCCCGGAGCAAGTCACAGTCATGGCGGGCAGACTGCAAGGCGTGGGCCAGGGCGTTCTTGGCCTGAGGGAATAAACATTAGTAGTATATTGAGTATAAACATCCTGGAGAATCTCTCACAGTAAATTAATTTAATAATTCAAATTCGACCACTGGAAATTATGTGTGTTACAATGAATGATAGATATAAGACTAGAGGACAAATCATACTCCCTCCAGTAGTCCCTTTACCTGTTAGGCAATGAGAAAAATATGTTTTTATCAGTGAGCTGTAAGAAAATATATCACCTTGATTTCTTCCTCTAAGTGCCTCTTGAGTTCCTCAATCTGCTGGGTGAATGCCTGCTTGCCTCGAGACAGCTGAGAAATCAGAGCATCTTTCTCCTCCACCTGGCGTGAGTATTCACCTGAGAAAGCATAGAGAAAGGAAATCTAGCCACTTGGGACCAAAACCAAAAATTTAAAGGATGCTGTCCCATTCCACAATTCATGCACTCTCACCTGATTCTGTCTGCAGACGAGCCCTTTGAGTGCTGAGATCATTGATCATGCGTTGATGCTCCTCCTCCTTTGACTTAATCTCACTCAACTGGTCTTCTAGAGTACAACACATCTTTTCCAGGTTTGCCTGTGGAGATCAAATGGAATGAACAAGATTAATACCTGTAGTAAACCGCATTATGAACAGCACAATTTTCATCATAAAAAAGTGGCAAGCAGAGCAGACAACATGACGCTATTGGTTTTGAGTTTAAAAATACATTTTTATACAGATTTATTTATTGTAAACCAGGTCACATTATTAAATTGGTATCATTCAACATTATTTATTTTCAAGGTTTTTTTTAATATATTTTCAGTACCTTGGCTTTGGAGACAGACTCCATGTTGCTGGCCAAGTCATCAATCTCCATCTTCAGCTCACTCTTCTCCTTCTCCAGCTTCTGCTTGACTCGTTGCAGGTTGTCGATCTGCTCCCCAAGCTCCGCTGTGCTGTCCGCATGCTTCTTCCGCAGGGCGGCAGCCGTGGCTTCGTGCTGCAGCGTGGCCTCTTCCAGGTCACGGCGCATCTTCTGAAATTCTGCCTCACGCTTTTTGTTCATATCGATCTGAGCTGCCGTAGCCCCTCCTGCTTCCTCCAGCCGCTCACTGATCTCCTCCAGCTCCCTGGAGAGGTCAGCTCGATGCTTCTCTGCTTTGGCCCGAGAGGTTCGCTCTGCCTCGATTTCCTCCTCCAGTTCCTCAATACGGGCCTGGGGAGCATCAGGGACCCTTCACACCCATGTCCTTCTCCTTCAGATGTTTTCTGAAGGCCAGAAGGGAAGGACCAGAGACTTGCCTGCAGCTCCTTGATCTTCTTCTGCAACTGCATGCCCAGGGCTTGCTCATCCTCAATTTTGCTCTGGATTTGGCTGATTTCAAAGTCTTTCCTTTTGCACAAAACAAACTGTGTTAACACCTGAACAAAACCTCCTACGTGCACCTGCCCAGCACTCAGGTGTCCCACAACCTCACTTACTTCTTCAGTTTCTCATCCAGCTGCTGCTTATCATTTTCCAAATCCATTATGCTATCATGGGATAACTTCAGGTCTCCTTCAAGTTTCCTCTTTGCTCTCTCAAGGTCCATGCGCAGCTTCTTCTCTTGCTCCAGGGACCCTTCCAGCTAAACAGAATGAGATCATCAGTGCTCTGCCAGCCATGTTTATTTCCACAAATATAATAACCTATAATAGCCACATGCTTTTGTTCTTACATCATCCACTTGCTGCTCCAGCTTGGTTTTAGCTTTGGTCAGTGTATTGACTTTGTCCTCTTCAGCCTGCAGGTCATCCAGTGTCTGCTGATGGGCCTCTTGGAGGGCTTTCTTCTCTTTTGTCAGCTTGGCAATTGTCTCGTCCAAGCCTGCCATTTCCTCTGTGAGGTTTTTCACCTTTGAAGAGAAAGAAGCAAGTTCAATTAAAGCTAAATAGGTGCACGACTCCCATAACAGCACAGAGCTCTTTTCTGGAGTGTAATTGATAGCTTCTGCCTCATACCTTGTTTTCAGTGGCATGCCTTTCCTTCTCAACCTTAGCCAACGTTAACTCCAGGTCATCTATATCTTTCTTCAGCTCTGAGCATTCATCCTCCAGTTTCCTCTTCTTGGCTGTCAGCTCAGCATTAATTTCCTCCTCATCCTCAGCCCGTTCTGTCACCTCCTTAATTTTGGCTTCCAGCTGGATTTTGGTTTTGATGAGCTGGTCACATCTTTCCTCAGCATCTGCCAAAGCATCTGCTTCCTGAGGGGAAAGCAGTTTATTTTGAAAACGTCTGGCTTTAACACAGAAGAATAAAGGCTATTTAATTCTCAAGGAATAGATCTGGAAGACACATATAATTTCTATTTGCAAAGGAGATACTGCGCAGTTACAATTTAAATTAGAAATTTTGAATAAGTTTTCAGTTAGCTTTATTTTTTCAGACCTTTTGCATCCCCAGTCATGGTGTTTAGTTCCTGTATGCCAGTAGGCTATTCGATTCATTTTATACTGTCCATTCAAATATGCCAGTAATTTACCACTTATCATAATTTTCCATTTTTCACCATTGTCACTTTCAAAGTTATGTGGATGTACTGAGAAATGAAAATACTTTTCCTTTGTTCATCCATCACTGAGAAAATATTTTTAAATTTCTGTTAATTTTTCTCATATACACTAAGAAGCTTTTTTTCTGTATACTGAAAATGTTTTTGAAATTAACATCACTAAATGAGTGCTTACATGAAAGCCAGATATGTGACTCTAAGAGACTGACACACAGCTGTTACACTTAGAAGACGCTAACTACCACTGATAGTTTTCTGAAACAAACACTTCAGCACAAAGATATTGTTTAAAAATGATCTTGGGGCCAAATGGCATTGTCACAAACTACAAGTATCATGGGATTTCCACATACATCTTCTGGGATCAGTAGCTCAGGAGATACGCCAAAAGAAATGGCACCAGGCTATTAACATGTATAACTTAACTAAGATGAAGTAGTTGTCAATGGAATGATTATCCCGCTTAACTAAGCACAGAGCAGTGACAATTATGTTTTCTGCCATGAACATTATGAAGATGCTACATGTAGGATTTAAGATTGAAATTTGAATTTATTTTTGAGCTGAACCAACAGTTTTTAATAGTAACACTGACTGTGGAAAGGAAGTGGCCTGAATTTTACCCTCAGATACACGCTATTTGGCTTAAAAAATTTTACTAAAGCGATACAAAATGTAGTTTCTTCTCTAGAAAAAGGCTTAAAACTTACTGAATGATTTCACTTAATAAAAATAAAAATAACAATAATGATGCTCACAGCCTGCACTTGGAGCTGCAGATCATTTTTCTCCTGCACCAGCTTCACCATTTTCTCCTCCAGCTCCTTCCTCTTGGCCTCAGACTTTGCAAGCTCTTCCTTGGTCTTCTCAAACTCTTCCTTCATGTTGGCCATCTCCTTCTCAGACTCTGCACTCTTCAGCAGGGGCTTGATCTTGAAGAACAGCTTCATCCAGGGCCAGTGCTTGACATTCATGAATGCACGAACGTTGTACTGGATGCAGAAGATGGACTCTCTGAAGCATAATTAAAATGCACATTTGATTATTTTGTGTGATATGATCACTAGGACTTTCCCCAAAGTGCCTTTAAGTGAAGATGGGGAACACCTACCTCCTCTCCACCATTCTCTGGTACTCCACTCTCATCAGGAAGCCCCTGCACCTGGCCTGTGTGCGAGTGATGAGCTGTGCCAGCTTCTCATCCCTCATCTCCTCCAGGAGTCCCAGCAGCCCAGCTTTGAAGAACACCTGGAGAAACAGAACATTGCAGTGCATCACTGTCAGGGAGAACAAAACACAGATACAGGGACTGAGTTGAGGAGAGTTGGTACCTTGGTGTGACCAAATTTGTACTGGGTGTGGTCCACATCAATTGACCCAAGAAGCTTCTCAGAAGCTTTCTTGCTATCAATGAACTGTCCCTCGGGGATGGCACTGGCATTAAGCACCTTGTACCTGGGACAAGCAAAAGAGAAAGCTAAGGCCATTCTTCCCAAATCTCGACATTACTTACAGTCATGCTAACAGGCAGAGTGCTCTTACCTCTGTTTGAAGTCTGCATAGAGGACCCTGCTGGGGAATCCTTTCCTGCAAATCCTGATCCCCTCCAGCACGCCGTTACAGCGCAGCTGGTGCAGCACCAGTTCATGCTCCATGGCACCTAACAATTAATTTTACAAATGAATGCCACTGTTTCCACCACCGAGGGAGACGACTTTAGTGTCTCTGCTGGAACATCTTACCCGGTGTTTTTGTTTCATTTGGGATGATGCAGCGGACAAAATGAGGGTGAGTACTCCGTAGGTTGGTCATCAGCTTATTTAAGTTCTCCTGTGGGATCATGACTAGAAGCTTAGATTAAATTTTTTTACTTCTACACACTCTGTTTATAGGTGAAAAGAATATAATGAATCTTTGGATAATGTAGCTTTCAGATCCAAACTTTAAATGTAATGAAATCTTCTATGTAATCTTATTAACAGAACGTTTAAATCTCTGAATCATAATCTGGAGGAAATGAAAAATTTTAAGACAATATATAAACATTTTTACTACATCACAGGTAAAACAAATTTTTTCATAGACAATATAGGTGAAATTTTGAAACAAATTCAGGGAGTCACCTGAAGAGTACTCGAAACATATCATAAATGTGAGCAGAAAATAAAGATGAAAAGGCAGTGAAATAACATCTGCGCAATTTATACTTATTGGTTTTTCATCATAAAACAAATGTTGTGAGAAGAATGGAAGTTCAGACAACTCAGATCCATAACTGTTTTCATGTCATTATAATGATAATGAGATTCATACTTTACCCGGAAAAGAGCTGAGACAGTCTGGAATGAAGAACCCTTCTTCTTGCCACCTTTCTTGCCACCACCACCATTAGCCTCTTTAAAAACAAATGTGTTTTATATTCATTTTTGTAAGGTTAATCTTTACGTATTATGAAAGTGAGAACTTCAGAATTTTAGAAATCTGACCTGCTTCTGCTCCACCATAGTTGGCAAACAGTAAGGCCAGTGTCTTCACAGATGACTTCTGGTACAACCCAATGACAGTTTCGTTCAGGGGGTCCTTGTTCTTCTCAAGCCAACCAGTGATGTTGTAGTCCACTGTGCCAGCGTAGTGCACCAAGGAGAAGTGGGCCTCAGCCTTGCCTTTGGCTGGCTTGGGCTTCTGGAAGTTGCTGGACTTGCCCAGATGCTGGTCATAGAGCTTGTTCTTGAAAGAGGTGTCAGTTGCCTTGGGGAACATGCACTCCTCTTCCAGGATGGAGAAGATGCCCATGGGCTGGAAATATTACAATACATACAATAGAATATTATATAGAATATAATATGATCACCACTTGGTCTTCAAGTGAATGTAGTAGAAGAGGAAGCTGAAGAAGTAACTTACATCCTTGATGTGAAGTAAATTTCATTCTAAAAAGTGAGTTTACATCACCTGAGGTTCACCTGCTTGACTCTAAATTTGGCACGATCATTTAGGACTTTTTTTAATGCAAAAAATCAAGTTAAAAAAAATCACAAAATCCATAATCATATTTAAAAACATTCACAAATGTTTCCATTTTATGTTTAGTTCATTTTTGTATTTTTAAGCAACTACCTAAATTATACAGCACTACAAGAAATATCTTTCATTCTGTTGCTCTAAAAGAACAGACTGAGATTGAACTTTACTATGAACCATCAAGAAAAAAAAAAGTATTGTTCAACAAATAAATTAATTCCAGAACCTTAAGGAAATTCCTTTATTTTACTTTAGGAGCTGCTGTATATTTTTGAAATAATTTAATAAAATAAGCAGAGACATCTTGCATGCAGAGAAGGTGTGTAAAGAATGACTTCCATAGTTATTCATGAACATTGTAATGAAAAATAAGCAAATGCAGACGTCAAGAGATACTTCATTAACTAAAAATGAGTGCATTAAACTGATCAAGGAAGAAAGGAGGACTTTTTTAACAGTTAACCTCCAACGATTACCTTCTGAAAATGCAGGACATTCTGAATTAAAAATTTACCTTTTCAATGAGCTCAATGCAGGCAGCCAGGTCCATCCCAAAGTCAATGAATTCCCATTCAATGCCTTCCTTCTTGTACTCCTCCTGTTCCAGCACGAACATGTGGTGGTTGAAGAACTGTTGCAGTTTCTCATTGGTGAAATTGATGCACAGCTGCTCCAAGCTGTTGAACTTTCCAGTGCCAAAAACAAAACAAAACATAACAAAACAAAATAAACAACATGTCAGTTATTAAGATGAACAATTACTGTATGATTTCTTTATAATTTTAATCTTTTATACACCTGTCTTGTTAAAATGTAGTTACATAACATCACTGCATCACAGCAGTTCCCTGAAGAAATACCTACTTAATGAGGACAGGATTCCTGATGAATCTCCTAAAATTATTAAAGTACTTCTACCTTTCTGTATTCAGACAAAAAAAAAAAAAACAACACTGTATGCTTTCAGTTTTATCAGTAATTATCTGATCTCTCTGATCAGTCATTTATCCAGTAA